TTAATTTAAACTGTAGATATTCTGTATGTGTTGGCATGTTCTATCCAGTTTGTCTTAAGTCCTGAAAGTACTTGTTTTATTTTCTTTCATATTCAAGACCAGATAGGTCAACTGTCACATTACAGTGAGCTACTAGCGTCATTTTGTTTGTTCTGATTTAAAGAAAAAAGCTCAGGAAGATCCATAAGTTCCTATAGTCATATAATTGGAGAAGGAAGGTTATAAATATTGTAGGACTTGTTTGCTGCAATGCAGAGTTTTATGCTGTCTGTCAAAGGTGGATGTTTTTTTTCACAGAGAAAGTGATAAAAAATTGACTATAAAGCATAATTAATGGTAAATTGTACAGAAAACATATACATATCAAGGGCACACTGGCGATCTCTATCTCTATATAATATACTCTTAAAATCTTCTTTAAGGTTAATCCACTAATGCTTATGAGCACAGCAATTCAAATGAATGTTTTCAAACAATGAGTCCCCATGACCTGTAAAATGCTTTGAGTGGAGTGTCCAGAAAAGCGCTATATACTGTAAGTGTAAGGAATTCTTCTTCTTCTTAAACCTGAAACAGAGCTTTTGAGCTTCATCCCTCCTGCTGTTCACTTCAGTGGCCTAGGTCTCCTGTGATGATGGGTGATGCCAGCAGTGGTCAGGATGATGATGATGATGATGATGGTAGCTGAGGATTCTCCACCCACATCTTCATGATTACAAACGCACTGATTCACACAGCTTTTGCCTTTACAGCTCATTCCACCCCAAACACTACAGCTCTTCCTTTCTTACAAATCCTCAGACTTGCTCTGCTGTGTAGTGACAACAGGGATTTCCAAAACCAGTCCATTAAAATGCTCTTTTTTTGACAGGGGATACCCTTTATACTATATTGACAGGGTCCACATACGCGAGGGCCAAAATAAAACTCTTGTAACACCAACCTGATGAGAATCCCGTACCCAGATCTGCATTCCCGTGGTGCTTGCACAACCTCCTTGACCCACGGCTCACCATGTGCTTCATGTGCCTTTTGTTACAACAGGAGCTTCTGCATCAGCTGCAAATATTTACCCAGTAGCCCCTCATACAGCACATGGCCCCCTTGTCACTTCACCTTCATCATATGCATCCAGCAATGTCTTTTATTCAAACTCTTACAGACAGCGTCCTGCCATTAACATTGAAGAGACGGGAAGAAGACCAGGGACCAGTCTTTTTACATGTGAGAGCCATGAGCATCAATGATCTCTCCAGGCCAATAGTTCCCCATTTCACCTCTCCCAGCTAGGATTACACTGACCTTTTGTAACCTGGCCTTTTACAGAGATTCAAGGATTCTTATTCCAGAAGGCAAGATTCTTAAACTTGGATCACACCTTCCTCTCTCTCTCCATGAATGACTAATGACTTTTTTAGAACCTCTCCATTGGTATACAAATTTCAGCTTTTCACACTCTTCCCACTGGGCTCCATTCAATTGGACGCTCTGTGTTACCTGCTGAGCCCATTGTCATGTTCACTGTCCTTTGTTTTCCTGTGCTTTCCTCCCCTCAATGATTATCTCCAAAAACCCCAGGAAGACTCAACAGCTGAAACATTGTGTTATTCTTCTTCTGCTGTACCTTTTCAGCATTTACTTCAGCTCTACTTATTGATTAAAATATAGCTTCTTACCTAAAGACATTTGAAGAAACTCTACATATTTTCCAGAGGTTTGTTTACATCCTTAGATATTTGTTTCCCAATGATGCACATGTTTCTAAAGTCGTTTTTTAGTTTTGATGAAAAATACAGATGCAGTCTGTATGTATTTTGAAATAGTTGAAGCCGACAGCTTCACTGGGAAATATGTTCCAGACCCATATAAATCTGTAAGTTAAGACATCACCTCCTTTTGCTCCTTACTGTACCTCCAAAGCCGTATTTCCCTATCAACCACAGTCCTTATCATTCTTAATGCCAAACCATCCAAGTTCATGAGGAGATTCTGTGAGCACCAGAGGGTTTAACTATGGTTTTGATTGTTTCACTCTCATACTTTTTGATTTGTGGAGCTCTTCAAAATCCAATGACAGAAGGGCTTCAGAGACAGATTGTGGAACTGCATGGTTGAAGCCCTGGCAGGGGTTAGGGTTCGCATATCCACACTACTACCACAATGTTTACGCTCAGCGCTGGAGTCTGGGGCCCAGGTCAGCTTTTGGTTGAGTGATAATTTGATCCTGTCTCCAACTTTTTTTATTTTCGGAGACTTTTACAGTACCTGCTTGGACCGTGCAGTGCACCGTTTAGTAATCATATCCCAATACTGAGTCAGTCAGATCAAAAGTTGTAAGAACTTAACAACTTTTCTTAAAAAACAGGCAAGAGCGAGAGATTAATGCTCATAGGTCATGTTATTCAGGTCAAAAAGACCAATGTTACAAAACGATGTCAGAAAAGTTATGGTTAAGTACAATAGGGTCATCCAATCAGTTATTGAGAAACAGATTGGCAGGTACACCCAGGAACATACCCTGATCTGGGACACCAAGCAAAGCCAGGAATACAGTTGTATGAGAGGCCATGTAAATTACAGTAAAATTACATGGGAAGTACATCAAGAGATTAGAGAATGACTGGAACATCAGCTGAGCTGTGCCTGAACAAACAGGGCAACAGTAAAAGAGATGTCAAAAAATAAACCTAGCCATTATGCCAAAATATCTGTGCTTGTGTCTGAGATATTATTAATAAAATATCCCTACATCTCAAGAAGCCTAAAATGGAAATAATCAAATTCAATAAAAAGATGAAAAGGAGAGGTTTGTATGATCAATGCCTCATGTCACAGTCAGGTATGTCTGTACTGCCTCCTTTGGGTCTGGAAACCTTAGCATTAATGAAATGCAAGTCCAGTGAAGTATCAAGAAACATGGCTGTCTAAAAAGATTCTCTGAAACAGTCCTTGCTTAACATTTCAAGAAATATCCAGTGGGGCAAAGCTGCTCCCTTTTCACCTTTACTTGAAATAAAAATCATATTAAGGCATCTTCTGTTGTAGTATTTCAACAATCAACAATGAAGGTTGTTGTGAGAAATAATCGCATGTTGTGTGATACTGTACCTGCAATTGCCAAATACTGGACCTGGATAAATACAGCTGTTTCTCAACAATATACAGTTTATCACTGTTGTGGATTTAATATTAAACATTGTAATTATTAACAATCTTAGGGTTCATTTGATACATTTACAGAGGTTGGAAGTACACGCAAGCAGTGAACTGCTTCATTACTAGTTTCTGATGTTTTTTTACAAGTAGAATCACTGCCACCTGGTGGAAAAGATACTTAAGGTCAAGTACAGAAAACTACAGTCATATCCAAAGATTTGATTGTCCAATCAGTTCCAGCAGTGCTTCTGCTGGTTGGGAATCACCTCCACTGCTGGCCCAGGGCTTGGGGACATTCACAGGTGGAAACAGCATTTAAAACAGCAGCCAGGAGCCACTTTCTTGCTCAGATGGTTGTAGTTGTCTGAAAAAAGCTACTTAGCCAAGTTGTCGAAGACCACACCCTGGCTTCGTTACGAAAGGTTTTAATTAAATCATTTAAATCAGTTCTAACTACCAAATGGGTGAAATGGGCTGAAAAGGCTTCCTTTCTTTTGTAACTTTTATCTTGTGACCTTGCCTAGTTCTACAGACCATGGGGTTAACTAAAGTATTAACCACTAAAGCTTGTAAAGAAAGGTGAGGGTTATGGTACAGTACTGTATGTGTGACAGCTGAAAGGATTCAGGATTCAGCCATTTGTGACCCAGTTCATCATTTTGGGATAGAGTCATGGACAGACAGTCTCTAGGGATATCAGGAGGTCTAGAGGGATATCAGTTATAGAAGGCCTCTAGCAATATAAGAGATGGAATCAGTAGTTTATTTTTTTTTTGTAATATAGTGCTTTACAAGGCCATTGTCCTTATGAAACACCACTTCCTATCCTGATACCTCTGTCTATCTCCTGTGATCCACTCCTGAATCAAATGGGGATCTACATCTGCCTGAATTGACCGCAGACTAGTAGAAAAAGTAGAAAAATAAAATGTAGTAGAAACACGTTTTGGCTGTTGAGGTTTGTCTTCAGGTATAAAGACAGGTATGTTTCATGTACTTTCCTTGCCATGCCTATATTGACCACCAGGGGGAACTAATAGCCTTTGAAAGTGTTTAAAATATTAAAACCGGGAACGAAATTCTTAGTTGTGAAAGACGTCAATAATACAACGTAGAAATATCATTTGCCTTCCCAATCAATATGCTTGTAGGTACAGTATATTGAGCATAAGTGTATATGAGTAAGAGTATTTTGTGGTTTCTGGTGTGTTAAATTAGAGTACATTTTTGTCCAAAACTGTTTGGATGTGTACAGTACACATAAATTAAAGACACAAGTCCACCAACCTAGGCAGAGAGTTCATGAATACATGCTAATGTTTTCTTTTGTGGTTAATTGTGTATTAATGTTTACGTAGTGTTTGCATGGTAGCACCTGTGATAACCAACAGATTAGTCTGAAGGAAAACTCGTTGGGCCTGGGATATAAATCAAGCAACAATCAGTAAATGAACAGAAGTATAATTATTTTATTCATCGTGCAATTAACAGTAGAAAGGGTAGAGTGCGGGGCCCAAAAATATAATATACACATAATTTTAATCACGCTCTTAGAAATAACTTTTAGTCAATTTCACTATGTACTGCTTTATTTTATTCAGTTTCAAGCAGTGTTAACGCCTTGGTTGTTGGGACTTTTGTCTCTGTAACAGAGAACACCAATAACTCAGTAAAATCCCCAGAAATATTGTGTTGTCGTTCATGTGAGAGATTTGGTAATGAAAAATACTATTAATCCGACCGTGGGAGTTCCTGGAGAACAATTCCCTTGTTAACGCGGAAGTCGCCCTCTTGTGACTGCAGGCGGAACTACAGCTCTCCGGTGCTGTCGTTTTGTACCGGTTTCCCGAAGGACAATAAAGTTTGGAAGTACAGTGTCCTGCTGGAACAATGCAATTAAAGCAATTAAATCATTTCTGAATCACCAGGCCTTTGCCTTTTGTCCTACCAAATGTAAAGGACAGTTATTAAATACAGCAGCAACATAACTGCCCAAATGTAAGAAAAGCTCCAAACGGGAGGAGATTTGAAGATTTGGTGTATCGAGCTTCTATGGCTGCCGGTAGGTAATGTTTTTTCCCCTGTGTTTTTCTTGGTAAATCCGTTAAGAAAATATTTTCAATTTATTTGTAATTTGGAATTTATTAAACAACAACAACAACAATAATAATACGTAGTTCAAGTAAGTAGCTGCGTCAACATGCGTAGGCTGCAAATGAACAAGTAAAGGTTTATTGCAAAGAGAAGAAAAACCACGTTTCGGCTGTGGAGCCTTCTTGGGGTGTCTTTGGGTTTGACATCCGAAGAAGGCTCCACAGCTGAAACGTTGTGTCTCTCTTCTCTTTTCAGCCTGAAATAAACCTTTACTTGTTCCTTTGCATCACCATCATCATCATCATCATCATCATCATCATCATAATACAAGCCTATATATTAAAGGGGTAGAATTTGGAGGAACTATTCTAAATTTCTCCCTTAACAGAAGTGGCAGTGTACTACTTTAAATAGAAGAGAAAAAATAGTAATGTTTGTGCTGAGACTTGGAGTCAATTATCAAATATCTCTATGCCTTGCTGCTGGGACTAATTTGTGCAGTGTAAATGAAGATTTCAGGAGCTGAGTTTTGAATAATGTGTAAAAGGTACTGCTGTGCTGTGTCAACACACTGTTCTCCATCAAAGCCATTCCAATTATTTTATTCAGGCAGTTTTAAGATGTTTTTTTCGACAGAAATAGAAAAAAGGGATAAATTGACAAGCTCAAACTGCTTGATTTCAATGACTTTATGCTATTATGAAAATAAACATTTGCTTGTCCAGAGGGCGGTGCATTGCTGATGAACCAGTAGGTGGCGCACCACCCTCTGGACTAGAATCTGCAGGTGCATTCCTCAGAGAGAAGACTGGTGGCTTCTTAAAGCGCTGAATACTGTGGGAGAGCAATATTCCTAGATTTATAGGCCTGGTGTCCTTGCTAATTTCTATTTCTATTCCAGAATCCATCCATCCATCCTTCCATTTTCTGTACACTTTATCCAGTATAGGGTCACAGGGGAGCTGAAGCCTAGCCCAGCAAGCAACAGGCGCAAGGCAGGAGATGGAACAGGACGCCTGTCGATCTCAGAACACACACACACATAAAGTCACACACACTCTCAAACCAGGAGCAGGTGGCGGGGGGGGTACAAACTCCACGCAGACAGGACCCCAGGCAGGTTTGGAATCGAACCCAGAGCCCCAGCCCTGTGAGGCATTTTGATGTATCTCCCGCTTGAACACTTTCTGGGCGGTAGTGTGGCTCTGTGGCTCAGGATCCGTGCCTGTGACTGGAAGGTTGCCGGTTCGTATCCCGCGGCCGGCAGAGGAATCCTACTCCGTTGGGCCCCTGAGCAAGGGCCTTAACCCCAGCTGCTCCAGGGGTGCTGTATAACCGGCTGACCCTGTGCTCTGACCTCCAGCTTCTCTCTCCCTGTCTGTGTGCCTCATGGAGAGCAAGCTGGGGTATGCGAAAAGACAAATTCCTAACACAAGAAATTGTATATAGCCAATAAGGTGATCTTATCTTATCTTCTTGTCGCCCCCAACCCACACGATTGGTGAAATAATTGCTACCGTACATCACGGCTTCACCTGATCTGCTGTGCAGTGGTGCAGAATGGCTGCCATGTGTCATCCGGGTGGGGGTCTGCTCTTCGGTGGTGAATGGAGTAGGTTTCCTTCTATCCGTGTGGAAAGCTTTGGGATCCTTCAGGAAGGAAAGAGCTGTGTGAAGTCCAATGAATAACTTACAAGAAACCTGCAGCTTGTGTGATGGTTCTTGGGGTTTCCACCCCCTGCCACTCCTGCCCTGCCAGTTCGTCCCTCACTGCCTGGGCGCGGACCTGGGTCACCAGTGTCGCGCAACAGGGAACTTGCCGGCTGAGCTAAAGGAGAACTCCCCCAGCCCGGGCGGCTGACATCCCTGTTATACGCAGGAGCATATTCATTACACTTGCAATTGGACACACGTGGCCTTTGCCACTAGATGGCACTAGCAGACCCCCCCTCTCCATTCAGAAACAAATTTGTTTTTCTCTGTTTTGTTTCTCTCTGCTCTTGTTGCCGAGTGAGTGGTGGAGGCAGAGCACATACATTTACCCCATGCTAGATTAAAACAGTTTGTTTCCTTTTTTTTCCTTGTGTTGTATGGAAGACTATCAGAACACCATTTTTACTGTATTTGCTCATTTGCTCATTTGGTTGTTGAGTAGCTAAGTAGTCAAGTGAATGTAACATTGACAGACCACTTCCTGAAGAAGTCTAGTTTGGACCTCAAGCACTTGTTTAGGAAGCCTGTTCCAGTGTTCAGCTGTGACCCTTGTGACAGTTCTTTCATGAAATAGTATGGTTGACCCCTTAGGATTTATGTACTTGGATCAAATTTCCTCTTCATCTTCTTTCACCTAGACTGAAGAAAATTGTCTGCTTCATCTTGTCCATATATGAGAGTCTCCTGAGACCAGGAATCGTTCCTGTTGCTCTTCCTTGAACTCTTCCTCTTTGAAGTATAGTATCCTTTTTGTGACACAGTGACCAAACCCAATATTGTAAATTAAGTCTTATTATTACACTGTAAAGTGTGGGTACAGTGTACTGTATATTCCCTGAATTTGAATTCCACATTCCTTTTGTTGGCATTTTTTGTTCACATTTCAAATGCAGCCCTGTTTCCGTCAGGAAATGTCAAACTATGCTTTTAGTTTAAGCAAGTTAAAATTTATTTAAGCTCAACTAGGACATCTCCAAAGAAAGTTCTAGATCTTGGATATAAGCGCACTGACATTCGTTCGTACGAGCAGATTTCTTCCCTCTTATGTACTTACTAGGTATATAAGCCTTTAAGTGTCATTCCCGGTCTTTGGGAACCAATGGAGTTGGTCATCTTGGAAAAACTGCCCTGGGTGTCAGTATGTAGAATGTCATTACCGGCTTTTTATCTTAAACGTCGCCTGTAGTTTCTGAGAGTCCACGTTTCGTGCAATCAGACAATAGGATGCTACTGCAATTGTCAAGCTAGAACTTACAGCACAAGTGTTTTTTGTTATTTCAGCAGGCTGGTTGCACATGGTTCTGTGCAGTGAGATGTGTTTTCTCCACAGGCACCTTGGTCTGAGCTTGTTGACACTCCATGAGCATGGTTATCGTGTGCCCTGTTGATCAGTCTTCTTCTCCAGGTCCATGGGAGGGGATGTTGGTTGTTTGTGCTTCTCCATAACTGCTCGTCTGCTGCACTCTAACAGTAAATGTACTGCTACTACTGCAGCATGCTGCCCTTGCCTTATGATTAATGTGATAACTTGATTTTGAGCTTACAATTCATTTTGTATTGTGTTAAAGAGTCAGTATTTGTCCATTGTCCCTTGCTAAGAGATAACTTTTGATTCTGTGTGTCAACAAAACAAAGCAAAAAATGTTATTAGTCACAAGACAGTGAGGCAGGTCACACCTTGCAGGTTCTGACCATTGGTCCTCTCAGGTTTTTCCGATAACAGACAATGGATGGGTGAGAGCAAACAATTGAGAATTACAAGGTTTTCAATTTGAATATATTGTCAGGACGTGTTTAAAAATATATGCATATTTCAAAGCAGGTATTCACACAACTAGATTTGCAAAACTGAAAACAGTTTCACTATAAAACAAAAATTAAAAGCAAACGGTTAAAACCATCACTAACAAACAGAGCACAGGGTCACCTGTTGTCAGGTTAGGGTGGAAGTAAACTTGCTTAATCATTTGTGTTTCACTGGCTAAATCGGATACCAAACTGGATGAAATTTGAAAGTCAGTTTCAATCTCAGTTGCCATTGACATGGTGTTTCCTGCACAGAATTCAAGAAAAGCATTGTAACTGTAAAAATATTTTGCATATCATAATTTTAGCTATACTATGTATACAACATGAGTAAGTTAGGGAGTGATACGTTTATTGGACATCTTAAGAAACGGGGAATAAAGGACAGAAATGCAGGTCTTGCTTTGTGAACTTTCAAATGCATTAACTTTTTCAAAAACCACCAGAGGTCGCTATTGCTTCTCTAGAGAGCAGGGATACTTAAGCCAAAGTGAATTGCTGGACGGCAGCACTTTTATATAAACTATTCTTTCTGCAGTAATGTTTTGGAATAGATTCTTAATTTAGTCACCTGTAGAAGAACAAGAACTCATCACAAAAAAACATCTCTGGAATCCAAACGGCAATGCTTTCACAATGATGAAACTCTTAGACTGTTTAAGAAGTCAACACCCACGTACATGTCCATCACATGAAACATGAAATTTCTTAAAAAAGCCCCTCGGATAGGTATGATTTATTTAATTTGGAATGCATAGATATATATATATATATCAGCTTTATTTCAATTTTCTGTATAGGTGTAAATCTCAAATTCTGGTTTCACAAATAATATTTATAAAGATTTTATTTGTATTTATTTTTTTGTACTGTAACTGTATTTTTTATGTAACACCTGCCTGTTGTGATTCAGGTTTAGTTTAACCCATTTTATTGAGGCACAACTGAATAGTTTATACAACTAAAATATATTGCTTTTTTGTTTTTCTCGATGCTGGTTATGGAATTTAGCTTTGTACGTCATGTTTCTGTGTTTTTGATCTGATTTAGGATGTAATATAGAAAGTCCCTGTCTGTCCCTCACAGTTTGCCGGGATCCTTTTCTGCAGATACATTTCCTAATCAATTGTTTATTTATTGGCAGACTTTGGAATGGTATAGCTCAGACTTCTCTTTAAAAATTAAGAATAATAAGAAATGACAGATGGTTAAACAAAATGTCACCAGCTTACGGCATCAAAGCAGGTGCTGATTTAAACATAAGGCCCCTTTAAATTTCTGTGAAAGCGAAAATGCATTTTTTTAGACCTGGCACTACATACAGCAACACTTTGCTGCTTGCTGTGCAGTATTCTCCCACAAACAACACTTCAGTATTTGTGCCTAACCCTACTTTATATGCAACCTCACAGTCACGCTGTATGTTACAAATATCTGGGAGCTGTGTGA